CAGCTTCTCATAACCCAACAGGAATACCAAGGGCACTACCAGAAAGTGAGGCTTCTTTGGCAAAACTAAATGCAGATGAGAAGCCTAGTTCTGCAAGGCATACCAAGCAGCCCGTCTTTACTGACAGAATCTGCAGGAAAATTCTGTCTGTAGGATGTACCCCAAACTAAATTCTGCTAAGTATTTCTCATCCAGATGTGACTGCAGCTACAAATGCAGAAATGTGATTTGGCAATGAACCTACTCTAAAAGGTTAAGTTTTCATCTCCTTTTAGGACACTTCATAATTTGCTATTGAATACGTTTCAGCTATCATTTCTATGTACATGCCTCCTAAATCTTATCTTCAGTTTTGATCCTATTTTCCATTTAAGTCATATATCTCTACATTCACATCTATCTACTAGACTGGTCCCCTTGGAGGTTCTGCTGTCACCTCAAACTCAGCATTTCTGAAACTGAGCTTATCTTTCTTCCTGGCAACAAGTCCCCTTCTTAACTTCTTTATTTCTTTAAATAACTACACAACACTGGTCCATCACCTTTGGAATCTTAAATCATCAGGCTAATCTTTCTCATTTCCCTCTCACATCAAATCAATTATTGTCCTGTCATTTATACCTTCAAAACAGGTCCACTTCCAAATCTGTCCCTTTGTTTCTGTTCCCATTGCCATCACCCGTATTCAGTCCCTTATCACCTCACTCCTAAATTACAATAACATCCTTGTTGGCTTCCCTGCCACCAGTGAGCTCTGAGCAGTCCTGTACACTGACATCAGGTTTATCTTTTTAAAACAGCAATATCGCCACATCCTTCTTTGGCTCTGATATCTTTATTCTTCATTGCCTTCAGAATAAAGTCTAGGTTCTTTAAATGGTTTTCTGTGGATATGTTAAGGGATCTTAATGTGATCCTAACGTATCACGGGTGGTAACTTGTTGGGAGAGATATTTTAATGCTGCATTATGTCCTATGGTGTCAATTGCTTTTTTTTTTTTTAAGCCATCAATTGACAAGCCTTTGTTAAGAGCCTACTATGTGTTAGGCACTGTGCTGGGCCCTGGGATACAAAGATTAAATTCAACACATCCTGTCCTCGAGGAGCTTACAACATAACAAGAAAAGATACTGTATGTCTATAGATATATACAGGATAGATTAAAAAAAGTTACATGATAATTGAGGGAGGTTCAGGAAAAGCTTCATATAGAAGGCAGCATTTCACATGAGCCTTGAAGGAATCTAGGGATTGATTCTAAGAGGCAGAGTCAATGAGAGAACTCATTCCAGGAATGGGTCTGTGGTATGAATGAGAATGAAGAGGTAAAACTGACTCATGCGGTGTTAATCTGAGTGACTGGAAGAATGGTCGTGCCTTCGACAGACAGAAAGTTAGGGAGAGCAGTGGGTTCAGGGAGAAGAAGAATAAATAAACTCTGTCTTAAATGGGTTGCATTTAACTTTAGAGTTAGAGGCCCTAGATTCGAATCCTACCTCTGGTAGACACTGCTTGTATGACCTTAGGCAAGCCACCTAACCCTGTGGACCTCAGTTTCCCCATTAATAAAATGAAGTGATCAGACTAGACCTCTGAGAGTGCCTTCCAATTCCAGAGCTATGATCCCCTGGACAGATGAGTCTGTCATGCAGGTGCCTACAGAACATCCAGTTCAAAATATCTAATAGACATTTGGTAATATAGGAATAGAACTCAGAAGAGAGTCTAGGGTTGGATATTTAGATTTGAGAGAAATCATCATAAAGATAATATTTAAGCCTATGGGAGCTGATGAGGTCACCGAAAGAAAGACTCTATCTATATGAGGAGAGAGAGACAGAGACAGAGAGACAGAGAGAGAGAGAAGGTCCCAGAATAGAACTATGGGATATACCCACAATTGGAATGATGTGGATGATCATCCAGCAGAGGAGACTGAGAAGTAGGGGTCAGAATCTTATATCCTCAAAAAAAAAAAGAAAAAGCAAATGAGATAATATATGTAAAGTGCTTTGTGAACCTTAAAGCACTATATAAATGTGTGAGTTATTGCTATTCTCTATATTCTGCAGTCAGTTGTGTGACTCTGATTATGTGATCTGTAAAAGACTGCTCTTCCCTTCTTGTGTTTTCTTCAAGGATGCCCTTGCTATGTATGTAAACCAGTCTCAAAGATTTTATAGAGATGAGTAATTAGGCATATTAGTTGGTAGTTGATGATGTGTTCTTGGGTACCTATTTTTACTAATAATACTATGATCTTATCGGTTCTTTGGAATCATCCACTTTTTCAGATATCTTTAAAGTCATTCCTTGAGCACTTTAAGATTATGCATTATCCGACTTGATTCCTTCTATATATATTTGGTCAAGTCCAGCTGTTCTTCCCAATTTCATCTTCTCAGGCTCCATTTTCATTCTGTTCATAAAGCACATTGGGTAGGCAGGTGTTAAAGGCCAAATGTAGAATTGTAGGAGATGAGCATAGAAATAGGGACTAGACCTATGATTTAATTGGTATAAGGAACTTAACTCCCTCTGCCAATGCAGGTAGGCATCTTCTCAATACCTTATGGTATTAGAGAGTTGCCTAGAGACCTTCGAGGTTAAGTGACTTGCCCAAGGTTACACAGCCAGTCAGAGACCAGATCTGAATCCAGGCCTTCCTTGCTTTGAGGCCAGCTTTCTAGTTACTCCACCGTTCTGTCTCTCCAAAGAGGTAAATAATACCCTATGTATTATGCCTCCTCTCATGGAGCTCACGGTATCAGAGAGTATCATGCATACATAAAGGACCATGCTACAAAATGACACATAGTTTGTACCTCTCCTGCGTTTATCGAGTGTTATTTGATATCTAAAGGGGACGAAGAAACATTACTGAACCAAGCAGGGAAGATTTCTTGTAGAAATGTCATTTGAGCTAGGCCTTAAAGAGTTGGTAGATTTCAGAAAGTAGGCTTTGTATTTCATATGTATTAGATCATAGGATTAAGAGTCAAAGGGACATGAGGCTCATCTAATTAAATCCCTTTATTTTATCAGTACTGGAATGGTCAAGGGACTTAGCCAAGTTTACACAGCTATTAAGTAGCAGAATTGGGGTTCACACCCAGACGGTCTGATGCTAGACCCAATGTTTTTTCCCCTACACCACATTGCCTTCCTATATGAGGCCATAGGTGGGATGCACAATAAGAAAGAAGTTTATATGTAGTATAGTTACCTTTTATAGATACATACCATGTCATAAAATGTTTTCCTTAATTAAATGTTCCTGCCTCCTTGGTGTTTTAAGTATCCAAAATGAGGAGAGTGAGTATTTCATCAAGTCAATAAGCATTTATTAAGCACCTACTGTGTGCCAGGCTCTGCTAAGTACTGGGGATACAAAGAAATGCAAAAAACAGTCCCTGCCCTAGAGGAGTGCACAGTCTAACAAGGGAGACAACATGCAAATATCTATGTACAAACAAGTTATATACAGGATAAATTAAGGATAATCAACTGAAGGAAGGCTTTCCTGACCTATATTATAAAGAGTTCTGAACTAGGAGTCAGAAGATCTAGGTTGGCTCCTGGTTCTGACACTTGCTCACTCTGTGACTCTGGGCAAGGCACTTTGCTTACTTGCTTATCTGTAAAATGGGAATGAGAATATTTATTCTACCTGTCTCATGCAGGATTGTGAGCCAAGTGCTTTGTAACCTCAAAGCACTATAGAAATACAAATTACTCCAGCTCCAGGAACAAAGCAAGTATTTAACAAATGTTTGTTGAAGTGAAAGAAAAATGGTCTGTTAAATGGAAACTCACTGTACTTTGACAATCTCTTATCATCAAGAGTTTAACCTAAGCATATACAAATGAATATATGACAGCCAGCATGCCATATTGCCAGTTTGTGTCCTCGTATAATAAGATACATTATTCAGCTCCTAGGGCAGTAGTAAAAATTGCTGTCCTTTTGGCTTTCTGAATTATTTAGTTTGAAATAACATTAATATTTTCACATTAATAATGTATTACAATAGTAACATATTTGTTTCTCATTAGTCGAAAAGAAGTAGAGCAAAATGAGGGTGTCATTTTGGAAATGCAAGCCCTATTCATCATGAGACAGCCATTATTTTGAAATGGGAGCATTTCCACTTTACCAAGTTTTTCTGTTGAAATGACTCTGTCTAAAAAGCATGTAGTACGAGATACTGACATTTGTCCATATTATCATTACTGAATATCTATTTTCTGATTGATTCAGGGCACCTAGTTGTTCCCTGCCTCAGCTGAACACAGAGAATATGTCCATAAAAAACACTTCAAAGAGCACTTTGATCATTGACTTTTCTGACAAACTAATATTCATTCAAAAAAAAAAAATAGCAGGCAACCATATAGCAGTCGGCTGATTGAAACTGGAGTAATACATGCTTGGTAGCTCTCACTCTAAATTGCTACAGAAATCATAGTAACAATAGCAGACCAGAAATTTAGGATGGTGTTCTGCAAATTGAATGTACAGCTTTGAGAAAGTCTTAAGATTAGTCTAGCTCTATTTTACTATCCAAAGGCTTTAGTAAAATTTTAGACCTGTGGGATAAGGTGCTAAAGATCATCCAGTCCAGTCTCCTCCTTTTACAGATGTGGAAACTGAGGCTCAGAGAAGGTAGATGACTTGCCTATAGTCAATCCAACTATTTGGCAAAACTGAGACTGGAATTCAGGTTTCCTGATTCCCAGTTCAGTCGCCTTTCCGTCATATCACACTGCATTTTAAAAACTTAGGACACAGATATTTCTGGTATTTTAATTCTTTGATTTACAGAGTAATTTGTTTACATAGAAGTGATATTTGTCAGTAATTAACTTCTTCCATAATATAGTATCATAAAAACTATCATTTCTAATGATTCTCAATTTTCAGTATTACCTCTTTTTCCGGAACATTGTGATACAGAAACTTGATATCACAAACCTTTATTTCTTTTTATATTTTCAGGATCTTGACATAGGTGCAAAAAAAGTGAAGCTTTATGTCAATGAAAATCTCATATTTGATGGAGAGTTAGAAAAAGGCAGTGGAGAGCTGGTTGCTGGATGTAGCACCGTAGTTGACCTTAAAAATGATGGACGGGAAAACTCTACAAATCCTAATATGGAGGAAAGCAAAGACACATGCCAGACTATTAGCATAGATGGTGACAAGGAATTCAGTTTCAGTTATTCACAGTCAGATAGAACCTTATCAGGTATCTTTGGTATAAAGATGGCCTCTACTAATTGCACAAAGGACAATTTGTCTAAGTTAGAGGAGGACTTGAAAGTGTTATCTGCTCCTGTCTCCATGGTTGATGTACCAAGTGACCCTCAAGAATCCTCTCTTGTGAAATACCCTTCTGATGATGAACTTACCATCACTGAGCAATTAGAAAAATTCACTGGCAGAAAAGTCTCTCAGCCTCTTAGTAAAACCCCGCCTTGGTTACAGTCTTTTTCCAAAATGAAAGATAAGAAGCCAGAGAGCAAGAAACAGAAACCTCCTTGGCTGAGTCCGGAGGAGCCTCTTGATTTGAAAGTCAAACTACAGTCAGATGGCATCATTAATGAATTTCCTGCAGAAAATGAAGAAAATGACAAATGCCTACAATGGGAACAAGGACGAGCCAGTAGCCGTAATGCCATTGCAAGTGACAGGCCACAGGCAAGAGCTGAGAAAGAGGCCACTGATGACTTAGACATTTTTGACCTACTTTCTAATAAGGATCGCTGTGGCCCAGAGCACCCTATCAGCGGGAGGAGGAGTTCCAGAAAGGATGCTTTCAACAGAAATCATGGAGATGAAGGTCTGACCAATACAGGTAAGAAAAAAGAACCATTCT